ACGACAGAGTGGAATCCAGGACAAAGCTATCACACTTTGGGGAAAGAACTTTGGGAGATCGGAGGAGGCAAGACAGAGGGGAATCCAGTAGAAAGCTATCACACTCTGGAGAAAGAACTTTGGGAGATCGGAGGAGGCATGACAGAGAGGAATCCAGGAGAAAACTCCTGAGCTTGCCACTCCTGTCTAGTGGATTGTGCCGCTGGACCTCTCCATGCTTCTCGGTTCACCACCTCCACTCCCAGATATGGGACTTGACACCAAATTGGGCTAGGATAGTGTGGATGGGCGGGGGGAGAGAGCGATGGAGTGGCTTCCAGACGGGCGGGGGTGAGTGAGGAGCGACAGGGCAGGTGTTTCGGAAGTTACTTCCGGGTCCACCGGTCGAACCTCCTCTCACCGGATCGGTAAATTTTACCATCCGGTTCTCCTGATCCAGTGTGAACTGGCAGAAACCCACCAATGAACCTATGGCCTAATTATAACTAATTAATTTTAATGTATATAAATTGTTTTAGATGAGAAAAGATTGTAAAAAATCATCAAATATGGTTTCAGAACAACATTTTCACAATAAATGGAATTTATGTTACTAATGTTCCCCTTTATACTCTGAATTATAATATATTTTATGACCTAGAGACAATGGATACAGTCAGTAACAAACTTGGTTGTATTATAGGTAACCATGAGGGTTTTATTGGGAAAGAAGAGAAATAAACTTGTTAATTTTAACATTATGTTTAGTACATTTATTTCCACCCAGATCTGATGTTTGGTGATGTTTCCATTCAGAATAATGTTGTTGCCTTTTTTAATTTGGGAGTCAAATATGACCAGTTCTCTTTTTGAGCATCAATAAAGTATTTTTTTGGGTTGTTTAGACAATAATTTTAAACTTTTCCTTTTAAGTAGAACAGACTTTCCCCTCCATTAAGAGATGCATTTCACTAAACGAAAATGGTTATTGATATGGATATTTATTTTCCTTTTTCTTTCAGGCACATCAGTTGGATTACTCAGCTCACTATGTCCGTCTCAAATTCTTCATAAGAAACCAAATGGAATATTACATACCAAAGCCAGAAGAAGATATTTATGAATTGGTAACGTTAAACTTATTTGGATGTTTTATAATTGCTTTAAATAGAACTTAAAAAAAAAGATTGCTATTACCATATCTTGTCTCTTTGGTAGTTTTGATATTAAGAACTCTAAATATAGACCAAGATAAATTGAGCTTGTATGTAGTGGAACAAAGGGGTAACATTACTTTTAGGATTTTGTAGAGTTCATAGAAGTAAATGGGCTGAGTGTTTATGGTTAAGCTAAGATTACTAGTGAGCATGGACTTTGAATTCAAGTCCCCTTGCGTTTAATAATGAGATCTAAGCTCTTCAGATATATTGGGGCTATGATACCCAGAATTCCCAGCTAAGGCTGGATAATTGTAGTTTTAATACATCACACTAGATTAGGAAATACTCCTTTAGGACATGCTGACATTGCTGTCACTCTTATTCACTAATAGCTTAGTTTACATTGAGAAAGGGAAGGAAAATGGCACTATGAAAAGGAGGAAAATAAATATTGTGGAAGGAAGAATTAAAGGTAGACATTAAAGATGAAGAAAAAATATAACTTCAAAATATTATTAAATTTACATTTTATAATCTTACAGTGTTCTGAAGTAATGTGACTGGGAAAGCCATATATACTGATCCACAGAAGAAATAGTTGAGATTATGTGATAAAGAAGGAATATTGTGCAAATTCGCTTTATCAGCTGAAAACTACATGGTGTATGTCCACGATATTATCAGTTAAGCTCCACATAACCAATTAGAACTTTACCGTACTGTGATTTTTTTTTCATCTCTGTCCTCTCTACGTTCAAAAGGGATGCTGCATGAAAAATGACAAAGAGCAGTATCATTCTATGTAACTAATTCTTTTTAAAAATGTATTGTCTTTTCAGTTATATAAAGAAATTGAAATCTGTGAGAAAATTACACAGCAAATTCATCTTGAAAAATCTGACACATTGGATAATTATGGTGAGTTTGGGATTTGCATACATTTGTATATCAAGTTTTCATTTACACATGTATCATAAAATACTTCAATATTCACAACAGCTTTCTTCTACCTACTTCTATCTAGGAGCATCTAGAGGTGTTGATTGCAAGCCAGACGTTCTATCCAGTAATGGGGGTTTAGAATTATGAAGCTGAAATCTTTAAAAGTTATTGAATTTAGTCTGTAGCCACATCTAAGGACAATTATTTTAGGTGACTAACGTTGATACTACTGGCCATCTTTCCATTTTTAAAAGACAGAGGAGAAAGAAAGTAACTTTTCACACTGAAGATAGGAGAAAAAACTGTGTACTGCTGAGTATGAAAACATTAATCTTCAATGCTAAACTTCCAGGAAATGTTACATTTCATATATAGCATGGTTATTTGATACGTACTTAAAACATCTTTTCAAAACTACCCTGTTGGTTTGGATGCAGTATATCTCTGAGTCTTTCTACTATTGTTATTAATCTATTATTATTATCAAAAAAATAGTCTTTGAATTTAACAATAAATCCAGACAAAATCCCATATTATTATATTGTGTTTCCAGTCTACCTCAATGAGCAAACTCTTCACATCTGTAGCATTTATCTGGAGTTCTGTGATTTCTTAATATTTAGCATTTTAAAATCCCTAAATGGCTTATTATACAGCTGCAGGGCAAAACATTGAGATCTGGTATAACCCAGCAATGCTGGATTCATTTGAAGACTTATATGATGAATATGTATTGGCTAAATTTTGACATTGGTTTGTACAGTGACATGTTAATATATACTTCCATGTAGGAAATATATATTTTTCATCCAAGTTAAAAATACTCAAAAGACTTCCAAAATGATCCAAATTTGTAACAGAAATGTTTAAACTTGAAGCAACAGTTTCTCACTTGGGAAATTTGATGAAACAGTGAACATAAAACCTATTGTATACCCTTAAATACCACCATACAATATGGTGGTCACTATAAATTGGTAAATCTCTATCTAAATCTGTATGTATTGAATACACTATTAAATTACAAATACAGTATGTAAATGCTTTTTTCAAATGCAATAATATATATTTACTAAGCTTGTTAAGCCTCCTGGAAATCGAACACACCTATTTGTTTTATTTTCCACTACTAATTGGCAGAAAAATACCACTATTATTTGGCATTTATCATCAATTTCAGTAACACAAAATTGGGGTTCATGGAGAACACAATGCTTCTAGACTGCATGAAGCCTGCAAATTCTAGGTTGCCCATCTCTATTTGAAAGGAATATTACAAAAAAGCAAACACCAAGTACATTTCTATTGAAAGGAAGGCTGCTACTTCTGCATATACAGTAGGTATATGCATTTATGTTTATCATAAAATCATAGAAAGTCACTGAGTTCACCCCTATGGTTTTCCAAATTCAAGTATTCCCAATAGACTGCTGTTCAACCAGTTAGTGAAAGTTAGTTTATAATCTCTCTCTATAATTAATTTTATCATCAAACTTTCAGGAGTTTTAAAAACTTTTCAAAAATCTTTTCATACATTTTTTTCAGTCTGACTTAACTTAAATTTACTATTCCTGTTGCACAATCTCGTGCATGAAAGTCTTGATTTATGTGATATATTTTCAAGAATTAGAAAAGAGTGTTATATTCCATCTTGCACGGCATTTCTCAGGGCTAAATTTATTCAGCTCCTTCAGTCTGTTTCTATGAGATATTTAGTCCTGTCATCCTCTGAGCGAGTGGTGGGTTTCAAATTTTTTTAGAACCTCTTCTGTAGGTGTGGCCTGCTTTGTGGGAGTGGCATGCTGGCCATGTGACCAGGTGGGAATGGCTTGCCAACCATGTGACTGGGTGGGCATGGCCAACTTGTAAAATGTGGTGAAACTNCAGATTGTTGTTGGGGGCAATATGCTGACTCTCTGTAAACCGCTTAGAGAGGGCTGAAAGCCCTATGAAGCGGTATATAAGTCTACTGCTATATATTCTGTTTGTTATTATTTTCTGGGAAAATACCCAACAAAAATATTTGTTCCTTTAGAGCTATATGCTGTTTTATCATTTTCTCTAACTATGTATGTATTTTTATCCTTTCTTTCTTTCTTTCTTTCTTTCTTTCTTTCTTTCTTTCTTTCTTTCTTTCTTTTTCTTTTTCTTTTTTGCTTTTGGACATGTCCACCACATATGATAGTACAAACCCACTATCTGATTGTATTCATTTACAAAACTTGGTGGACATATCTTTAAACATCTTTGCTAGCCTTGCCGGTGCCATAAGCACATTTTTTTTAAATATATCTGTTTCTTCCGATTTACTTGGTCTGTCTGCCTGTTGGTGTGGATACGTGAAGGCTGTCTTCTGTTTGTCTGTGTGCGCAAGTCGCACTCCCAGCAATTGGGCCTTCTAATCAGCCTGCCTCCCACGTTTCCTCCCCCACCCCTCCTTCCTCCCCTCCCCTTTCCTTTTAAATCTAATAAAAGAAGAAAGCCGCTAAAATGTCAACATTTGCAATTCGGGAGCTCCATTTAAGCTATAAAAATAATAATTAAAAGGGTAAAACCTTTGAGAGATTTCTTCATTTTATATGGTTTGCCAAGATATGATACACATTCAAGGAAGCTAGTAAAAAGAATTAATTAGGAAGAGCTAAAGCTCAACAAACTATGGAAAATTAATGAAGCGGGGAAGAAAATGTCATTGTAAAAACCCAGAGCTATAGTACTGTATATACATTGTGGCCTTACTCATCTCACTAAGCCTCCTTTAATCTCTTCTCTCCCTCTCCCTCCCTCCCTTCCTCCCTCCCTCCCTCCCTCCCTCTCTCTCTCTCTCTCTTATTTTTTGGGAGGAGGTGAAGAGAAAGAGAGAGAGAGAGAGAGAGGGAGAGGGAGGGAGAGAAATCAACACTAATAGCATTTCTCCACTGAGAAATGACAGCCAAATAATACCCGAGAAGTTGAGTTTGCTTTGTGGTGACATTTTTTTAAAAAAAAGTCTCTTCTTTTTCCCTCCCCTGAAAAGCTACGCTAAATTGGCTTTTGACCCCTCGAGTTACGTTTTTGCAATGTGCTTACATTTCTTTTCTTTCTTTTTTAGATTCAAAAGTTTTATTTCTTTTAAAACACAAATATTTCATCATTCCTCAATCAATTAAACATCGAAGTACAGTTTTTTTTGTATGCCTCTCCCTCCCTCCACCCTCCCCCCAACCCCCCTCCTCCTTCCCCCCCCCCGACTTCCCAGAACCCATACACGGTATGGATTTTTAACAAACACAGTCTAAAATCTATTG